CTTAAATAAATAATTTTTTAAAATTCATTAAATTATTAGACATACTTGTAAGTGTGTTAATTGCCAGGAGATTGAAATAGGCTGCAACTGGTATGCTGATTATATGATAGAATCTCATATATAAAAAATAAGTACAAATTAACAACTATAGCTGGATATTTTTTTCTCCATTTATAATTAATATAGTTCCAACTCTTTCTGTATATATAAATTTGTATATTTCTTGTTGAAGTGAATATATATCAAAATCCTTATCATTTGGATTAATTGGCAGGTATAAATTATCATGTGCTTTTTGGGTATTTTCATCTTGTATTCACTTTTCTGGTTGTAGGTTTAATTCTGTTTATAATCAATTAGCTGACCAAGCTGATGTACACTTAAGTATTATACCACATGTTTATCATTACACAAATGTAATTTTATTGATCATAACTTTTGATATAATGCATAAAATGAGTCAACTTTTTTTGTTCGTCTTAAAGAACACATTTATAAACTTTAAAAATTAAAAATTTTGCTTTATTCAGTTCAATCTGGCCAAGAAAGTTGTCTATTATATGTCTATTTTGATGCAGTAAACTAGTAAAGCAATGAGAAAACTTTTTAACCATTTTCTTTCGCTTATTTTTTTCAAATATTTCATAACATAGCTCAGACCTCTAATATCAAATATATATTTTTTTAATGCTAAAAACCTGAAAACTTGGTGAATTGAATGACCTCTGAAAATGTGATCATAGTGAATGAAGTATTAAAGATATTCTTAACCACCCTAAGTCAACTATACATAATATTATTGAAAATATAAGACAGAACATCAAATTTTAAATACTCATCTTGTAAAAACCATTAAAGAGGACAGATAACAATCTTTAGAAGAAATTACAGAAAAATTCAATGAGACATCAATAACTTCAGTAAGTTCTAGTACTATAAAGCAAACCCTACATGCTGAAGGCTTTTATGGTCACGCTTGGAAAAGAAAACCTTTGGTATCAGAAACAAATTGTAAAAAAAAGTTTAGAATGGTGTTATGGCCCGTACTCTATCAAACTTTTCCCAAACCAACATTAACTACAAAGGTGATAGAATGAGTACCACATCTAATAACATTAAAATCCACTTGCAATTCATTTGAAAGTGTAGCTGCAAGCAATTTTATCGTGATTTGCACCATTATCTATGGTAATTGCTAAAGCTTTAGTTGCAATAGAAAAGTCTTGAAGAATTTTATAGGTGACTTTTTGAATTTGCAATCCAGTATGTGCAATTACTGCATGTTTTAAATTCCACTCATTATTTATTCAATGTGCAGTAAGAACCATATAAGGCACACCAGTATCTGATGTCCACATATCTGATGTAAATGCAATCTTTGAATTATTTTCCTAAATGATTGGGATTCTGAGTGAGATACAATAATATGGAATGATGAATCTCATTTTTTATTGTTCCAAAATGACGCTCATCTCTTCATGAAAAATACGATGTAAGTTGTTTAATTTCTACAGTATCAAGTTTCTGGCAAAATAATGGGTTCTGTATATATCGATATTATAATACAGGTTGCGAACATGGATATCAGGAGTTATAAACATGCTCACATCCAAAAAATCTTGAAGAATTGATGGTTGATTTGGAGGAAAAGTGGAAGAAATTGAACCAAAAATTTCAGAAAATTTAGTAGAAAGTATGCCAAAAAGAATTCAAGTTGTAATGGATAGCAATGGTTATTCAACTAATTTGTGATAATTTTAAAGTGGTCCAATACTTTTGACGGGGAGTGTACTTTGTGTTATGAGTTCATTAAATTTTTTGACAAAATATACTAATTTTTCTTGTCATCTATCATTTATAAATTTTTCAAATGTCAGGAATGAATAAAAAAGAATAAAACACTAATATATGAACAATATGCACAATATGGCTTGGAAGTATAATATGGCTTAGTATGATATGACAATATGGGCTTAGCATGATATAGTAGTTTAACATATTATAGCTTAGCATATTATGAGCTTATGGCTTAGCATAGGCTTAGTATAATGTGAGAACTGGGCAGTACTAGATTGATAGGTTTGTTCAAATATTATTAGAGAATTTTAGAAACTCAGTAAAATAAGCAGTGTCCTCTGACTTTATAAATAAACAAAATAAATAAATAAATATATATATATTTAATTGCTTTATTAAAAAAAAAAGGAAAATGATTCTAACAAATAAATTTTAACTTAATAAAAAGATTTTATAGAATCTAAAAAAGATTTATAGAATCATTAGAACCAAACTTTGCTATTATTAGAGTTATTAATTTAATGGTTATAATATATGTAATAAATGATTAAATTTTTAAAAATAAAAATATATTATTAAATATCAAAAATTATTGCTAGTCCAAGCCAATTGGCTTTGAGGTTTCTGTTTGAGTTGAAACTATTGGTCCAATTAGTAGCCCAATTCCAACTGGTAATTTCAAGCTAATGCAATATAATCTGGTTTGAGTTTTAACAAGTTTGACCTTAAGTTGGGCTGAACCAGATTAATTACATTAGGCTTAGCATAATATGGCTTAAAAAATATGGCTTAGAAGTTCCTGTTTTAGTAGAACAATTCTTACAGTATAGAACATATGAAAAATTCATGAGTTATTGACTTATTGTAAACATTTTAATTTACTAATTATCACATAATCACAACAATAATGATAATTTTATATAACCAAACCATTACAACAAATCACTAAAACGATTATTATAGTAGCACTAAATAAATTGTGTAATAATCGTGTATAACAATAATCCTGGTTAGTTACGTCCAACCCCGCCATATGTGAGTTTTATTTACCCTAACTGAAGGCATGACTAAACGAAAGAAAAGGTATTTTTTATACATGCCATTATATTGAAGCAATATGCACGTGATACATAATAATTTGATAGGTAATTTTACAACCATAAATTTTTTTAGAAATTTAAAGAACTTTCCATCATTATAACATAAAATCGAAGACATAGGGTATAAAGAACAATGAATATTTTTTAAAATATAATATATAATAAACACTAACATAATAGTAAGATATTAATTTTAATTATAAAATCCTTTCGGTTATTTCTATAAGATGAGGGTATTCAGGAGGATAATAATAATATTCCCAGCGTAGTTGTTTAAAATTATCGATATGCATGTGGATGCATTGGATACGACATCGTATCACCACCGCGATATATTAATTTTTTCCGAATCCCATCCCAACAATTACTTTTTTTTTTAAATCATCACATATTCACACGGGCAAGTTAAGCCTTTTTTTTTTTTTTTTGGCGATAATTAATTTTAAATAAATTTTTTCTATGTTCTTTATAGAAATTTTCTTTTTGTTGTTCATTGAGATATAACTCGATATCATAATCAATGTACAAGTAATATGATTATATATATTACAACACAATTAACTTAATACATTTATTTACTATTAAGTTATTGAAATAAATACATGTAAATTACTTGGTTGAACATAGTTTGAGATAAATTGCTTAAAACTATTACACTAAATTTCAATTGGACAAGATAATTTGATAACAACAGCAATCTATTTTTTTTTAAAAAAAAATAAATATAATTGTTAGAATAATTACAATAATTACAAAATGTAATACTAGTAACTAAAAATCTGATAAACATATGTGGAATGTAAATTTCTTTTTCATAAATATTTTGAAGTGTAAGCTATGCGTATTTGTTAATGCTTATATGTGGTGACATAGGCACATAGCATAATCTTTAACTTTTATCAGTAATAAAGGACCAAGAAATATATATATAGGGGTCAGGTGAAAAATTTTAGCCGACTGCCGTTACACAGAGACTTTTTATGACACCTGATATTGAAAATCCTACAAAATTACACAAATAAAATTTCAGACATTAAGTTCATATTAATTATTTTATCATGGCTTCTATATTATTTATAAACCAAATACTAATGTGAAAAAATAATTTTACCATTTTTCAATAATATTTTTTCAAAATAGTTAAAATTTCACTTTTCAATCCTTAGAAATTTTCTTCATTTAAATCAATTAAATATTACAATAGTATTACAATGCTATTACAATGCGGTTAGCTGAATAAGTATGTCGGTACAATAGTATTATATATATAAGATTACAAATTTAGGCCAAAAATACACAAACTAATTTTTTACATATAAAAAAATTTTGATAAAAATACGCAATCTTTGATGACCAAACTATGGACAAAAAAATCTTAAATTGTACGCAAATCAAAACTTTACTCCGTCTAAATATACTACGATGGCGACGCATCCGTGTATCCTACCCCTGTATTGTGTCTTAGTAATAAATATAATGATATATAAAATAAATGTTTTATTTACTGTATATTTGAAAACAATAAAGAAAAATTTTCTATAGAATTTGGAGAGAAAATAATAAAAAAAGAAAAAGAAAAATTCAAGGTTGTAGAAGACAAATTTTAATATGAATTATATGATTATGCGCTGACAATAAAGTGAATCGTAAGTATTTGGTTAAAATAATTGTTAAGTTCAATAAATAAAAAACAAAAATTGAATTGCGTAATAAAATTTCTATTCCTGAGATTCTGTGTTAATTTCGTTACTAATTTTAATATGCTTTCCTATTTAATGTGAACAATAAAAAATAATTACTTCATATAATAATATTATTAATACACAACATATAAATAAAAAGCTTACTATTAACGTGAGTTTCATCGATATTACGTTTTCCTAAAAGATTTATTGCTTTGCTCTGTGGTTTGCTAGTATTAAGTATATGCTGATCTCTTGAATTTTGAATAATAAAATCTCCACTTGTCCTAAATATATTAATAATCATATTTAGTAAGGTTGATAATATCAGAAAAATTACTCGTACATTTTGGTCGTACCTTTGAATATCATCAATATCAAACTCAAATTCTTTTGTTACATATTCTAAAAAAAATATATGTTAATATTTAATATTAGCCAAAGTTACCTTCGTGATTATTCGATTAATTTTAGACCATTTAATAAAAGCAATATTATAATTACCTTGCTTTAAAGGTGTTAAAAATTTGGAAATAAAAGAACCTAATGATCTACTTGTATATATTGCTTCTGAATGAGTTGTTCCATTAAATTCTGGTCCAATTGACTTAGATTTTGTTAACTCTAATCGTATTTCTTCAGCTTGATTAAATTGGTTAATATCTTTATCCATATTTGACCAAGAGTTAAGACATTCACAAATTTTTTTCGCCGAAGGCCTCTTTTTGGGATCAGAATTCCAGCATTTTTTAATTAAATTGGCAAAATCTTCGGGAGTTTCATCTGTAATTTTAGGTCTTTTTCCGTCGAGAATTTGATAAACTAGACCATGATCATGTTTAACATTAGAAAAAGGCCTACAACCAGTTGTCAGTTCCCACATAATCATACCCATACTATAAATATCTGACGCTTTTGAAAATGTAGCTCCCTTAAATATTTCTGGAGAAACATATGATATTACTCCATATATTTCACTGCTTGATAAAGTATTATTTGCAGGTTGTGATAATCCTAAGTCTCCAATTAAATATTGTTCAATATTGCACAATTCATTTTCAATTATTTCGATCAATATATTTCCACTATGAAAATCTCGATGTATGAAATCCTTTTCATGAATAGTTTGAAGGCTGAAATAAAATAGATAAAAAAATAATTAATTTATTTATATAATAAAAATTAATTTATAAAAATTATACTACCCATCCGAAATTCTCCATAAAATATATAATTTTTTCTTCCACGTAATCTTTGTAAAATTTTCTCGTAAATAATCATGTAAATTTCCTCCATTTGCATACTTCATTATAAACATAAATTCTCTTGTTATAGGATTTTTTGTTATACCATGACATTTAATAATATATTCAAATTTATCATCGTAACATTGATAAAGTGATTTTATCTAATTAATAATAAAAATTATACATGCATGTTTCAAAAAAGAAAAAAAAAAAAAAGGTTTTAAAATTAAAAAATTACCTCATTTAAAAAACATTTACTGGAAACTTGAGAATTTAAGATTTCTTTTACAGCGACAATATATCCATTGATCGATGCTTTATAAATTTTACCATACCCACCTTCTGCTATTTTCGTAAAATTTTCTATTTGTGAATATGAAATCCATTCTATTTTTGGTTTTGAAGAGAAGTAATTAAATTTTTTAATTAAACTATATATATCTGATGGATTAGAAATTTTGTTAATATTAAAATAATCAACAGATTGATAATCATTAATAATATTAACTCTTGTAAGATAAAGAAATTCATCTATATTGCAACTTCCAGTAATATCAATGGTAATAACTCTTTTGCATTTTTTACATTGAGATTGATCAATATAACCAAAAATAACATTTGTCGTTAAACAATATCTACATCCAGTATAAATTATAAAGCAATTTGAACACCATTTTTGACAATTTGATTTAAATTCTAGTCTTAAATCACAAACTATACATTGATTATAAGTATCCCACCATGATAAATAAAGAATTGGAACAGTAGAAGTTGATTCTATGAGTTCAAAAGAAAATAAATAACAATTTGAACATAATTTATACTCCACAATATTATCTTGTATATTTCGTTTGTAGATTAATTTTCCACATAATCTACAATGGTTTTCTTCATAAAAATGATCTATATTACAAAAATCACTTTTACAATTTGTAACTATCTGTTTGAAGTATAAAATCTCACAGCAATTTTCACACCATCCTTGGATGCAAAAATTCAAATTTCTTGGTTCATGATTTTTACAATTGGCATTTGTTGTGCCTACTA